GAGTATTCCAGTTATATGACGACGTGTCAGCATGATGTATGAGTATTTCAGTTAGATGACTATGTGGCAGCATGATGTATGAGTATTCCAGTTATATGACCACGTGTCAGCATGATGTGTGAGTATTCCAGTTATATGACGACGTGTCAGCATGATCTGTGAGTATTCCAGTTATATGTCGACGTGTCAGCATGATGTATGAGTATTCCAGTTATATGACCGCGTGTCAGCATGATGTGTGAGTATTCCAGTTATATGACGACGTGTCAGCATGATGTGTGAGTATTCCAGTTATATGACGACGTGTCAGCATGATGTATGAGTATTCCAGTTATATGACGATATGTCAGCATGATGTGGGAGTATTCCAGTTATATGACGACGTGTCAGCATGATGTATGAGTATTCCAGTTATATGACGACGTGTCAGCATGATGTGTGAGTATTCCAGTTATATGACGACGTGTCTGCATGATGTATGAGTATTCCAGTTATATGACGACGTGTCAGCATGATGTGTGAGTATTCCAGTTATATGACGACGTGTCAGCATGATGTATGAGTATTTCAGTTAGATGACTATGTGGCAGCATGATGTATGAGTATTCCAGTTATATGACCACGTGTCAGCATGATGTGTGAGTATTCCAGTTATATGACGACGTGTCAGCATGATCTGTGAGTATTCCAGTTATATGTCGACGTGTCAGCATGATGTATGAGTATTCCAGTTATATGACGATGTGTCAGCATGATGTGTGAGTATTCCAGTTATATGACGACGTGTCAGCATGATGTGTGAGTATTCCAGTTATATGACGACGTGTCAGCATGATGTATGACTATTCCAGTTATATGACCACGTGTCAGCATGATGTGTGAGTATTCCAGTTATATGACGACGTGTCAGCATGATGTATGAGTATTCCAGTTATATGTCGGCGTGTCAGCATGATGTATGAGTATTCCAGTTATATGACGATGTGTCAGCATGATGTCTGAGTATTTCAGTTATATGACTATGTGTCAGCATGATGTGGGAGTATTCCAGTTATATGACGATGTGTCAGCATGATGTGGGAGTATTCAAGTTATATGGCGACGTGTCAGCATGATGTAGGATTATTCCAGTTATATGACGATGTGTCAGCATGATGTAGGATTATTCCAGTTATATGACCACGTGTCAGCATGATGTGTGAGTATTCCAGTTATATGACGACGTGTCAGCATGATGTATGAGTATTCCAGTTATATGGCGGGTTGTCAGCATGATGTGTGAGTATTCCAGTTATATGACGATGTGTCAGCATGATGTGGGAATATTCCAGTTAGATGGCGGCGTGTCAATTTCATGTATGAGTATTCCAGTTATATGACGATGGGTCAGCATGATTTATGAGTATTCCAGTTATATGACGACGTGTCAGCATGATGTGTGAGTATTCCAATTATATGGCGGCGTGTCAATTTGATGTATGAGTATTCTAGTTATATGACGACAGGTCAGCATGATGTGGGAGTATTCCAGTTATGTGACGACGTGTCAGCATGATGTGGGAGTATTCCAGTTATATGACGACGTGTCACCATGATGTATGAGTATTCCAGTTATATGGCGGCGTGTCAGCATGATGTGTGAGTATTCCAGTTATATGACGATGTGTCAGCATGATGTATGAGTATTTCAGTTATATGACTATGTGTCAGCATGATGTGGGATTATTCCAGTTATATGACCACGTGTCAACATGATGTGTGAGTATTCCAGTTATATGACGACGTGTCAGCATGATGTATGAGTATTCCAGTTATATGGCGGGTTGTCAGCATGATGTATGAGTATTTCAGTTATATGACGACATGTCAGCATGATGTGGGAGTATTCCAGTTATATGACGACGTGTCAGCATGACGTGGGAGTATTCTAGTTATATGACGACGTGTCAGCATGATGTATGAGTATTCCAGTTATATGTCGACGTGTCAGCCTGATGTATGAGTATTCCAGTTATATGTCGACGTGTCAGCATGATGTGTGAGTATTCCAATTATATGACGACGTGTCACCATGATGTATGAGTATTCCAGTTATATGTCGGCGTGTCAATTTGATGTATGAGTATTCCAGTTAAATGACGATGTGTCAGCCTGATGTATGAGTATTTCAGTTATATGGCGGCGTGTCAGTATGATGTGTGAGTATTCCAGTTATATGACGACGTGTCAGCATGATGTGGGAGTATTCCAGTTATATGGCGATGTGTCAGCATGATGTATGAGTATTCCAGTTATATGACGACGTGTCAGCATGATGTGGGACTAATCCAGTAATATGGCGGCGTGTCAATTTGATGTATAAGTATTCCAGTTATATGACGACGTGTCAATTTGATGTATGAGTTTTCCAGTTATATGGCGACGTGTCAGCATGATGTGTGAGTATTCCAGTTATATGGCGGCGTGTCAATTTGATGTATGAGTATTCCAGTTATATGACGACGTGTCAGCATGATGTGTGAGTATTCCAGTAATATGGCGGCGTTTCAATTTGATGTATGAGTATTCCAGTTATATGACGACGTGTCAGCATGATGTGTGAGTATTCCAGTTATATGGCGGCGTGTCAATTTGATGTATGAGTATTCCAGTTAAATGACGATGTGTCAACATGATGTGGGAGTATTCCAGTTACATGGCGGCGTGTCAATTTGATGTATGAGTATTCCAGTTATATGACGATGTGTCAGCATGATGTGGGAGTATTCCAGTTATATGACGACATGTCAGCATGATGTGGGCGTATTCCAGTTATATGACGACGTGTCAGCATGACGTGGGAGTATTCTAGTTATATGACGACGTGTCAGCATGATGTATGAGTATTCCAGTTATATGTCGACGTGTCAGCATGATGTAGGATTATTCCAGTTATATGACGATGTGTCAGCATGATGTAGGATTATTCCAGTTATATGACCACGTGTCAGCATGATGTGTGAGTATTCCAGTTATATGACGACGTGTCAGCATGATGTATGAGTATTCCAGTTATATGGCGGGTTGTCAGCATGATGTGTGAGTATTCCAGTTATATGACGATGTGTCAGCATGATGTGGGAATATTCCAGTTAGATGGCGGCGTGTCAATTTCATGTATGAGTATTCCAGTTATATGACGATGGGTCAGCATGATTTATGAGTATTCCAGTTATATGACGACGTGTCAGCATGATGTGTGAGTATTCCAATTATATGGCGGCGTGTCAATTTGATGTATGAGTATTCTAGTTATATGACGACAGGTCAGCATGATGTGGGAGTATTCCAGTTATGTGACGACGTGTCAGCATGATGTGGGAGTATTCAAGTTATATGGCGGCGTGTCAATTTGATGTGGGAGTATTCCAGTTATATGGCGGCGTGTCAATTTGATGTATGAGTATTCCAGTTATATGACGACGTGTCAGCATGATGTGTGAGTATTCCAGTTATATGACGACGTGTCACCATGATGTATGAGTATTCCAGTTATATGGCGGCGTGTCAGCATGATGTGTGAGTATTCCAGTTATATGACGATGTGTCAGCATGATGTGGGAGTATTTCAGTTATATGACTATGTGTCAGCATGATGTGGGATTATTCCAGTTATATGACCACGTGTCAACATGATGTGTGAGTATTCCAGTTATATGACGACGTGTCAGCATGATGTATGAGTATTCCAGTTATATGGCGGGTTGTCAGCATGATGTATGAGTATTTCAGTTATATGACGACATGTCAGCATGATGTGGGAGTATTCCAGTTATATGACGACGTGTCAGCATGACGTGGGAGTATTCCAGTTATATGACGACGTGTCAGCATGATGTATGAGTATTCCAGTTATATGTCGACGTGTCAGCCTGATGTATGAGTATTCCAGTTATATGTCGACGTGTCAGCATGATGTGTGAGTATTCCAATTATATGACGACGTGTCAGCATGATGTATGAGTATTCCAGTTATATGTCGGCGTGTCAATTTGATGTATGAGTATTCCAGTTAAATGACGATGTGTCAGCCTGATGTATGAGTATTTCAGTTATATGGCGGCGTGTCAGTATGATGTGTGAGTATTCCAGTTATATGACGACGTGTCAGCATGATGTGGGAGTATTCCAGTTATATGGCGATGTGTCAGCATGATGTATGAGTATTCCAGTTATATGACGACGTGTCAGCATGATGTTGGACTAATCCAGTAATATGGCGGCGTGTCAATTTGATGTATAAGTATTCCAGTTATATGACGACGTGTCAATTTGATGTATGAGTTTTCCAGTTATATGGCGACGTGTCAGCATGATGTGTGAGTATTCCAGTTATATGGCGGCGTGTCAATTTGATGTATGAGTATTCCAGTTATATGACGACGTGTCAGCATGATGTGGGAGTATTCCAGTAATATGGCGGCGTTTCAATTTGATGTATGAGTATTCCAGTTATATGACGACGTGTCAGCATGATGTGTGAGTATTCCAGTTATATGGCGGCGTGTCAATTTGATGTATGAGTATTCCAGTTAAATGACGATGTGTCAACATGATGTGGGAGTATTCCAGTTATATGGCGGCGTGTCAATTTGATGTATGAGTATTCCAGTTATATGACGACGTGTCAGCATGATGTGGGAGTATACCAGTTATACGACGACATGTCAGCATGATGTGGGCGTATTCCAGTTATATGACGACGTGTCAGCATGATGTGGGAGTATTCCAGTTAAGCTGATGAATGATCATTATCAGGAGAATCTAGGAGTCGAACCCACGTGATCAGAGGATCCATGCACGCGTAAACCTTTTCCCGATTAAGACGATTTCCCATATATTTTTTATTTATACATGAAAAACATAGCTGATGTTAAAAATATATAATTCCGAATTAACCACACACGAAGGCAGGGACTAACCTAGGTTTGCTGAGAGTTAAGGAATCTTATCACGCCTACCTGATACAGGCCAGGGGGCAGTTTGACTTGGGCCAGCTTCCATTCGTTGCCTTGACGACGAGACAGCCGCCACAGAAGCCTGCGTCCACCGCTTGCAGGCAGCATCGACAATGACAACGTCCCTATTCCGTTACCGTTCATATGGTACCAGAATTTGAAGGTGATAATAGACGTTACACTCAGAAAGGGGCTGACGAGACTGGCATGAGCGTCAGCGTCATGGGCGTCCTTGCCTCGGATATACACATATTGTCCTCCTGAATATAGTGGAAGTAAATATGTACAATAGTATGTCTATATGTACATACCATTGTCTTGAACCCACCACACCATCGTCTTGAACCTTCCATGCCACCGTCTTGAACCTACCATCACATTGTCTTGAATCTTCCATACCATCGTCTTGAACCTACCATACCATCGTCTTCAACCTACCATACCATCGTCTTAAAACTTCCATACCATCGTCTTCAACCTACCATCACATTGTCTGGAACCTTCCATACCATCGTCTTGAACCTACCATCCCATAGTCTTGAACCTACCATACCATTGTCCTGAACCTACCATACCATCGTCTTGAACCTACCATCTAATCGTCTTGAACCTAAAATTCCATCGTCTTGAACCTACCATACCATTGCCTTGAACCTACCATCACATTGTCTTCAACCTACCATCCCATCCTCTTGAACCTACCATACCATTGTCTTCAACCTACCATACCATCGTCTTGAACCTACCATACCATCGCCTTGAACCTACCATACCATCGTCTTGAACCTACCATATCATCGTCTTGAACCTACCATACCATCGTCTTGAACCTACCATCACATTGTCTTGAACCTTCCATACCATCGCCTTCAACCTACCATCCCATCGTCTTGAACCTACCATACCATCGTCTTGAACCTACCATCCCATCCTCTTGAACCTGCCATACCATTGTCTTCAACCTACCATACCATCGTCTTGAACCTACCATACCATCGCCTTGAACCTACCATACCATCGTCTTGAACCTACCATATCATCGTCTTGAACCTACCATACCATCGTCTTGAACCTACCATCACATTGTCTTGAACCTTCCATACCATCGCCTTCAACCTACCATCCCATCGTCTTGCACCTACCATACCATCGTCTTGAACCTACCATCCCATCGTCTTGAACCTACCATACCATCGTCTTGAACCTACCATATCATCGTCTTGAACCTTCCATACCACCGTCTTGAACCTACCATCACATTGTCTTGAATCTTCCATACCATCGTCTTGAACCTACCATCCCATCGTCTTGAACCTACCATACCATCGTCTTAAAACTTCCATACCATCGTCTTCAACGTACCATCACATTGTCTGGAACCTTCCATACCACCGTCTTGAACCTACCATCCCATAGTCTTGAACCTACCATACCATTATCCTGAACCTACCATACCATCGTCTTGAACCTACCATCCAATCGTCTTGAACCTAAAATTCCATCGTCTTGAACCTACCAGACCATTGCCATTAACCTACCATCACATTGTCGTCGACCTACCATCCCATCCTCTTGAACCTACCATACCATCGTCTTGAACCTACCATACCATCGTCTTAAAACTTCCATACCATCGTCTTCAACCTACCATCACATTGTCTTGAACCTTCCATACCATAGTATTGAACCTACCATACCATTGTCTTGAAACTACCATACCATTGTCTTGAACCTACCATACCATCGTCTTAAACCTTTCATACCATCGTCTTGAACCTACCATACCATCGTCTTGAACCTACCATACCATTGTCTTTAACCTACCATCACATTGTCTTGAACCTACCAACACATTGTCTTGAACCTACCATCCCATCGTCTTGAACCTACCATCACATTGTCTTGAACCTACCATCCCATCGTCTTGAACCTACCATCACATTGTCTTGAACCTTCCATAACATCGTGTTGTACCTACCATACCATCGCCTTGAACCTACCATCACATTGTCTTGAACCTACCATACAATCGTCTTGAACCTACCATAGCATCGTCTTAAAACTTCAATACCATCGTCTTCAACCTGCCATCACATCGTCTTGAACCTACCATACCATCGTCTTGAACCCACCATCCCATCGTCTTGAACCTAACATACCACTGTCTTAAGCCTACCATCCCATCGTCTTGAACCTACCATACCACTGTCTTGAAGACACCATTCCATCGTCTTGAACCTACGATACCACTGTCTTGAAGCCACCAATCCATCGTTTTGAACCTACCATACCATCTTCTTGAACCTATCCCATCGTTCGTCTTGAACCTACCTACCCCACCCCCCACCCCCCACCCCACCCCCCCCCCCCCCACCCCCACCCCCCCACCCCCCCACCACTGTCTTAAGCCTACCATCCCATCGTCTTGAACCTACCATACCACTGTCTTGAAGACACCATTCCATCGTCTTGAACCTACGATACCACTGTCTTGAAGCCACCAATCCATCGTTTTGAACCTACCATACCATCTTCTTGAACCTATCCCATCGTTCGTCTTGAACCTACCTACCCCACCCCCCCCCCCCCCCCACCCCCCCACACACCCCCACACCCCCCCCCCCCCCCCCCACCCACACCCCCACCCCCACCCCACCTTGCAAGCGCGATATATTTATCTGAAACCATCTCATGTTATCTCAATGCCCCATATAGACCTGATCACAATCTCATGAAAGTCAGATCTTATCGACACAAAGATAACTCTGGTCATCTCATTACAGGTCATATCAGAACGGTCTTTCATCCGACCATGTGAATGCATCTCTTATGTGAATGTAAAAGTTTTATATTTTCGAATCATGCAACCTTGATCAGTTTCCAAATTTTGAATCGAGAACTTAGTCAAATATTTTTCAACGCGTATTCTTGATTTGAAATCGTAATTGTTTTAACTATTGCAGATTAGCACGAGAGAGTTGCTTTCTGAGTGGCTAAAGTCGAAATTTCTGTTATGCATTTCATTGGTTGTTCAAAGCTGACGAAAGATTCTGACGTAACCTGTAATGGCATTTCCCCGGATCTTTGGGAACACTGAGATTTGTATTCACTACGATTTTGTCTGACCATCTCTTGCCTGCGTGGAAACCTCGCCCTACGTTAGCCATGTGTGTGATGCAAAAAACTGCGTGGTCTAAACTTACTGCCAGATGTGTGGTCTTCTTTTGGACCGGAAGTGGCATCGGAGGTGGCTTCTTTTCCAATCCTCCAATCAAACTGGTTGTTCCAGCTCTGCTTCCAGCCACAATAACCGTGATCGAAGTTGCAAGACAGAGCTGTGACTTCATGACCTACAACATCAGTATTGAGTTCTGGTACCGGCATCGTTGAGTTCAGTAACCCTCATGTTAGTAACTATGAATCAGTGCAGAGTGATTCTATAGTAAGACGAGTTTGAAATGTGTTCACTTTATGATGTGTACCTATAAATTAAAACTCCATCAAATAACGTTTGAAAAATATCTAATAAATTTGATTAATGAAGTTCAAATTTCAGTCTACTGTAAACAATAAATATCCGTTTTAGCAAACGATATGTAACGGGGACGATTCTGGACCAGGCATCCAATGATTGAAAACGTGAACATAGTTCCACGATATCCCAGTACGGTGACAGGCAATCGACCAAGTCAAAGGGTGTGACCACGTCATACTCTATAGCTGGCTCTTACGACCAGATGGGATAATGGAAACATTTCTACCCGGAATCTCCACGGAAAACATGCCCGACTGACTGACTCTGAATTGAAATGTGTTGAAGCAGAAAGGTTTAGGTGTTAGCTACTACAAGTCTACCTCATTATCCCGATACCAGGTGAGGTTACCAAGAAGGCTACCTACCCACCATCAGCAACATTAGGAAGAAAGGAGCTGAGAAACCGTACATGGTCATCACACTTGACAACACACAAGTAGCAGTAATGTACTTTTGTAGACACTAGCAGTGTACAAGTAGTATTCACACGAATCTTGAGTAGGCCAGACAGTCTGTCGTCGATCCCAGCGATCAAAGTTTACCTGATAAACTATATTCCTGATACGAATCCCTTCTGACCTGTCTGTTTAACATTGACTAGACCAGTGTATGTACTGGACTACTGCATTGTGGTATAAAAGGGATTTGAAGTGGTGTTTCTCGAAACTGGCGTTACATTTGCGTGTTGTTACAGTGTTTACGTCTCGTGTGTAAGGCAGTATGATCAAAGGGCGCCACGTTTAAGATGAAAATAACTTGTGGGTGAAGGATGAAGGCCAACCAATTAAATATTTGTTGAAGTCTTTTTCATTTTCACCATTTTAAAGCTGACGGTGACTTGTAACTTTTGACCTGATCAATATTAGATTACATGGCAATGGAATTTGAAATGTTTTTTAAGGCACTGATCGCCAATCAACAAGTATTCATCCAGAAAAGCGTCCCCTGGCGGTTTGGCACAGAAGTGGCCTATGTCGTTCTTCAGTTTTCCGATTGTTATTGAACTAAGGCGTTATGCGTGTTCTTTAAATGGAATTGCAACAAATTCATCAGTATTACCGAATAACTTCATCATAAATTCACCCGAGGTCTTTCAGGAGAGACGTTCCCAATTTTGTAAAAATCAGAGATATATTCATCATCCGGAAGACCAACTAGCTTACTGATGTCCAGATGCGATACATAACCATTGTTTCCTGGAGATGTCAATGCCTTCCCTGCATGACATCTCATCTCATTTCAGACACCCATGTCCATGTCGTGCCTTGATGATACCTTATTAACATACTTCACACAGCCATGTCCATGTCGTGCCTTGATGACATCTCATTAACACACTTCAGACAGCCATGTCCATGTCGTGCCTGCATGACATCTCATTAACACACTTCAGACACCCATGTCCATGTCGTGCCTGCATGACATCTCATTAACACACTTCAGACACCCATGTCCATGTCGTGCCTGCATGACATCTCATTAACACACTTCACACACCCATGTCCATGTCGTGCCTGCATGACATCTCATTAACACACTTCACACACCCATGTCCATGTCGTACCTGCATGACATCTCATTAACACACTTCACACACCCATGTCCATGTCGTGCCTGCATGACATCTCATTAACACACTTCACACACCCATGTCCATGTCGTGCCTTGGTGACATCTCATTAACACACTTCAGACAGTCATGTCCATGCCGTACCTGCATATCATCTTATTAACACACTTCACACACCCATGTCCATGTCGTGCCTGGATGACATCTCATTAACACACTTCACGCAGCCATGTCCATGTCGTGCCTGCATGACATTTCATTAACACACTTCACACAGCCATGTCCATGCCGTACCTGCATGACATCTCATTAACACACTTCACACAGCCATGTCCATGTCGTGCCTTGATGACATCTCATTAACACACTTCACACACCCATGTCCATGTCGTGCCTGCATGACATCTCATTAACACACTTCACACACCCATGTCCATGTCGTGCCTTGGTGACATCTCATTAACACACTTCAGACACCCATGTCCATGTCGTGCCTGCATGACATCTCATTAACACACTTCACACACCCATGTCCATGTCGTGCCTTGATGACATCTCATTAACATACTTCAGACAGCCATGTCCATGTCGTGCCTTGATGACATCTCATTAACACACTTCAGACACCCATGTCCATGTCGTGCCTGCATGACATCTCATTAACACACTTCACACACCCATGTCCATGTCGTGCCTGCATGACATCTCATTAACACACTTCACACACCCATGTCCATGTCGTGCCTTGATCATACCTTATTAACATACTTCACACAGCCATGTCCATGTCGTGCCTGCATGACATCTCATTAACACACTTCAGACAGCCATGTCCATGTCGTGCCTGCATGACATCTCATTAACACACTTCACACACCCATGTCCATGTCGTGCCTGCATGACATCTCATTAACACACTTCACACACCCATGTCCATGTCGTGCCTGCATGACATCTCATTAACACACTTCACACACCCATGTCCATGTCGTGCCTGCATGACATCTCATTAACACACTTCACTCACCCATGTCCATGTCGTGCCTTGGTGACATCTCATTAACATACTTCAGACAGCCATGTCCATGTCGTGCCTTGATGACATCTCATTAGCACACTTCAGACAGCCATGTCCATGCCGTACCTGCATGACATCTCATTAACACACTTCACACACCCATGTCCATGTCGTGCCTGCATGACATCTCATTAACACACTTCACACACCCATGTCCATGTCGTGCCTGCATCACATCTCATTAACACACTTCACACAGCCATGCCCATGCCTTGCCTGCATAACATCTCATTAACATACTTCAGACAGCCATGTCCATGCCGTACCTGCATGACATCTCATTAACACACTTCACACACCCATGTCCATGTCGTGCCTGCATGACATCTCATTAACACACTTCACACACCCATGTCCATGTCGTGCCTGCATGACATCTCATTAACATACTTCAGACAGCCATGGCCATGTCGTGCCTTGATGACATCCTATTAACACACTTCACTCAGCCATGTCCATGTCGTGCCTGCATGACATCCCATTAACACACTTCGGACAGCCATGGCCATGTCGTCCCTTGATGACATCTCATTAACACACCTCAGACCGCCATGTCCATGTCGTGCCTTGATGACATCTCATTAACACACTTCAGACAGCCATGTCCATGCCTTGCCTGGATGACATATCTCATTAACACACTTCACACACCCATGTCCATGTCGTGCCTTGGTGACATCTCATTAACACACTTCACACACCCATGTCCATGTCGTGCCTGCATGACATCTCATTAACACACTTCAGACGGCCATGTCCACGCCGAACCTGAACGGCATCTAACAAACATTTTCGATGTGTGTATTTAGTAAAGGATAAAACACGCCTCCGAGGTTTTGGTCGAAAATGTAAATACCTCACACTCACAGTGAAACAATATAGTCTGTCGCGGTAAAAAAAGAATTCGATCAAAGCGTGCGAGAGAAAAAACACATGCAGCATGGACTAGCTGGAGTCATGACATGTAAAATTGAGCAAGCTTTCATAACTTGCCCCGGTGACTCAGTGGGAAAACATTGGGTTACAAAACTTAACACGATACGTGAGGTTGCAGGTTCGATCCATGTCATGGCATTTTCATGCATTTTAACATCTTCCCGAGGCAAGAGAGTTAACTGACTTTAAAAGTCCAGTTTCCACCCTTGCCGAACAAGGCTCGATCGTAGCGCCACCAGTGGCTATTACCAATTATGTCCCTTCTAAGCCTCTCCTGGACCAATCAGATTCCACCTGTCGTATCACTTGCGTTTGTTTCACACAAAATGGTGGCGCCCAGTCAGGACGATCTGGTCAATAATCGAGATCTCTATTGTGATAAAGCGGGTAGATAAATCGCGAAATGCATCAAATCACGTCAGCACCTTGATTAAAAACATGAAAAGATTTGGAAAATATCTGCTGACAACAAGTTGGCGGTGCACATGCTTTGCAAATCCTGCAATCGACCGAAATCTGCACGACAGTTTACGAACCGGATTTCGATTTCGGTGCGCGATTTTGATTGGACTGTGCATAGACTCGTTAGTCCAGCAAAAATGTAACTCCATAATACCAGCCTAGTTCGGCAAGGGTGGAAACTGGACTTTTATATCCAGTTAACTCTCTTGCCTCGGGAAGATGGCATTTTAATAAAAAAATGAATCTTGTGTTCATATCAAGAGGCCTGTTTATAAATATATTACAACTGAAATGTGAAACCTCTTTGCAGGTTTAGAAGTTACAGAAGTTTGGAAGATGAGCTTGTTACTGAGTTTACCCGAGGTTGTCAGAAACCTAATGCAACATAGGGTAACACGGTGATAGGTTTATAATTGTGCATCACGATGCTGTATGTCGGTTTTGAAGAGGGCTCGAACACAGACGATAGACACGTCCCACCAACGTGACTTCTGTGTATACTTATCTTATGCAAGTGTTGATGCCCTCGTCTTGAAAATACACATGTCGTTCAAAGTAAGACTACAACCGAGTGCATCACAGATCATCCGACCTCTGCTAAGAGATAAAACAATCGTGACCTGATATGATGAGTTACATGACCTGATAAGCGCGTTGTTACGACCCCATGGGCAGTGTATCACTGGTCAGTTACTAGCATGCCGGCCAACGTGGACATAGTTCAGCTCTGCCTGTGGACGACGCTTGTGGGTACGTCTTTCAACAATGTGACTTTACCGTGTATCAATCGTGATATTAAGTTTCCTTCTTTATTTAAGAAATTAATTTGCATTAAAAATTACTTCTTCCGTTACTGATTCCAGATTGTATAAGTAAATTTCAACTATTTGAGAGGAACAACCAGAATGACAACAACATAAAATTAGATAGGTCACGGAATGGTAAAAAGAGGCTATTGCTATTTTCTTCTCAAATAATATGTCTACCTCGTCGAGTGTCTTGTCAGTGTTGAAATTTTCATGCGCGGGGGGTGAAAATGTCCCTTTGTCAGGTGGCCAGGTGAGATAAACATAAAATTTGATAAGAAAAGACAAATGTTCTATTTATAAGGTATTTTCTATGTGCTTCTCGTGCTCTTACTGTATTGTCATTCGAGTGATCTCATATCTTACGAGTCGAACACATATTTTCGATAAATATTGTACTACATCAGTTATATATTAGATAAATAATATATAAGAATTATTGCATGAGTCAGACTAAGAAGTAAGTCATATATTAAGGAAACCAAGCGACCTTAAACGTCAATAGTATTGTGTATTGTAGTTTGTAAAAAGAATGCTATACTTTTAAACTACATTACACTTTCTTAATTGTAAAATAATAGTGTTTGTATCTCTTTGTTGCATAATATTGTGTGTTTAGCTCATAATATGTAAAGTATAATATAAATAGTTTCAATCAATCAATATAATGATAACAATAGTTCGTGTTTCTAATGACAGGTGTCTCACAGTGCCTGATCAGTTGTGACTTTGAAGACAGCCTTTGTGATTGGTCAGATTTGTCCAACTCGACCTATCACTGGACGAGACACTCCGGTCCAACAGCAGATTTCACATCTGGGCCTCACAATGACCATACTTTCAAAGGTAGGAAATTACAATGATACTGACATGAAGCTTCTCGAAACACACAGCTCACAATGATGTTGCACCAGGGTTATACTTGCAGACGCCGCTGGTCACTTCCTTTATACAAATGGCGACAGGGCATCTAGGTCGGCAGTGGCACGATTAAGGAGCAATTCTATCACCCTTACATCCAATGTCAACTTTACCTTTTGGTACAATATGAACGGAAATGGCATTGGCAATGTGTCGTTAATTAGAGAAAACAACGATACCTCTGCTGGCATTGTTTTATGGGTACGTCATGGTCGCCAAGGTTTCAACTGGCTAGAGTCACACATCTCTCTAAATCCAGGGACATTTCAGGTAAGACCCAGTTGGTATATATGACCTCGGGATCATAAACTCAGATTTTAGCTTGATCGCTTCAAAGATATCTGTAATATCTATTCCTGATGAATTAATGATGTCTTCGCGTTAAAAATACTAAAGAGAAGAATTCGCCCAACCACATGCGATTAAAGGAAGCGATCAAGTGATATTTGACTGCACTTTCTAACACGGCGGGAAAGGGCCTGTCTTACGAACAGGACCGTTGTGATATTTCAATAGGCGTTCATGTCTCTGAAGAGTTAACTATTACACTTCCCAGCTGCAGTTTGAATCGACTGTATCCCGCCCCTACGGCAGTGACATTGCGTTAGACGATATCAAGCTGTTATCAGAAACACAAGGTACGATCCATTCTTCCACTCATCCATTAATCAAGAAATCATTCAAATAAACTGAATACTTCAAACGGCTGTCATGTTGTAGCTTCATGTATCAGCCATTTTTGACATCCATAACTTCATACCACATTACGGTTGCATGTTGCAAATCGATGTTATGGTGAATTGAAACCTCTAGTTGTCAGGACAAGACCACCTTCAACTTCAACGATAGAAACTACACAGACATCGGAAGGAATGTCCACAACGACAGGATCGAAATGCAACGTCCATGACCCTGGACTGATAATGTCAGGGTCGTGTAACTTCGAGACAAACGGGACATGTGGCTATACATGTTCCAGGGGACCGCTACATTGGGGGTTAACACAGGGGAAGAGGGGCTACATCAATGTTATACCGGGCGACCATGGCACCGGGACAGGTACTGCAGCTCGTATGAGTGAATGAGTATGGATTTACGCCGCTTTTAGCAATATTCCAGCAATATCACGGTGGGGGACACCAGAAATTGGTTTCATACATTGTTACCCATGTGGGGAATTGAACCCGGGTCTTCGGCGTTACGAGCCATCGCTTTAACCACGAGGCAACCTAATCGCCCCCAGCTCATATGCAAGATATACCTATTTAATTTAGCCTCTCAAATATCAGTACGAGTGTCATATCTGCCATTGCCTCTTTGCTCCAGTACCCCGATTTGTAATTATGTTCACCATTAACGGGATGATTTAATGGTGAAAATAAGCTTGCTGGCGCCTCATTGCCAACGAGCCACCCTGAAATACCGCCGTTTTAACCTAAGACGAGTCAGCATTGTACGACACGAGAAGGCCTGTGCATCTTCCCGAGGCAAGGGAGTTAACTGACTATAAAAGTCCAGTTTCCACCCTTGCCGAATTAGGCTGGAATTATGAAGTTACATTTTGGCTGGACTAACGAGTCTATGCATAGTCCAATCAAAATCGCGCACCAAAATCGAAATCCGGTTCGTAAACTGTCGTGCAGATTTTGGTCGATTGCAGGATTTGCAAAGCATGTGCACCGCCAACTCGTCAGCAGATATTTTCCAAATCATTTCATGTTTTTAATCAAGGTATTCACGTAATTTGATGCATTTCGCGATGTAAGACACGTTTTATCACAATACAGATCTTGATTATCGATCAGAACGTCCTGACTGGGCGCCACCATTTTGTGTGAAGCAAATGCAAGTGATACGAGAGGTGGAATCTGATTGGTCCATAGGAGAGGCTTAGAGGGGACATAACTCGTAATAGCCACTGGTGGCGCTACGATCGAGCACCGTAATTCCAGTCTTGTTCGGCAAGGGTGGAAACTGGACTTTTAAAGTCAGTTAACTCTCTTGCCTCTGGAAGATGAGGCCTGTGTGGCCTTGACACAGTTGTTAGTGTCTGCTTTACTTAATTGTATGTGTTCAGAATTAAATACCTGATTTTGATCGTATTGTATCAAATCAATATCAAGTATTCGTCATTGCCATGGCAGTATGTTATATGTTATGTATATTTATGTAGCGTGTATGACCGCAACTAGTACCCCTGACTCGCCATATCTCCTGTTCCAAAGGCCATTATATGTACCTGGGCACAGACAAAACAGGAAGCAGCCCCGGGTATACAGCAAGTTTAGTGTCGCCAGCCCTCGGGAAGAACACATTGGCCTGTCTTCAGTTCGCCTACATCATAACATCCGGACTTCCCATCACCCTCAGCGTCTACGCAGAAACGTCTGGACAACGTCGTCTATTGGCGTCGATCACAACTCACACAATGACGTCTTGGACATTGAGAGAAAATATCACACTGTGTGCTGATACATCAACTAAGGTTTGGAATATGGCTCATTCATGAACGGGATGGCACAATAGGTACATGTAAAACATGTAAATCCGACTGGAAGGGAAATATACATATAGGTTTCATTGTACCCAAATGTATTTTGTAAGCAGCTAGATGACTGATTATGATGTAAAGCCTTCTGGTCCATAGTGCGATATTTATCAATATATTCATATGATTACAGTAGCTTTTTTCACAGAGTTGTAACTTAACTTAAAGATAATAAATCAAACGTATCTGTACCATTATTGAATGAAAATGATATCGACAAATTACAAATTGGCAAATATACTTTATACTGTTCAGCAAAAACATAATTCACTGATTTGCTAGTCGTTAAGACGTCAAGTATGACGCTTCAGCCAGGTAGGTAGGTACTCGCTGTTTCACCCAGACATTCTCTGACGCCCTGAGTTACCTGGGTGGATTTTAATCCTTGCATAGTGAGTTGGTGGTTTGGAAGAGTCTGGTTTGTTTTTAGACAAATGTAAATACACGCATCAGTTAAAATATCGTTAATAAACTGTACCAAATTTTAGAAAAGGAACGCATTCAAATGACCATATTTCCGAGGCAATGGAGTTGACTGACTATAAAAGTGATGGAAGATGACTTAACGTTGATGTCTCTATGTGTTTGGTTTGATCACTTGTGAGTGATACGACCAATATGTATGCAAATCATCAATAGAGTGCTTCGTCGTTTACAATGTAAAAACACTTTAGGTCAACGCTTCAAGGATCAGACATTTTGAGATTGTAGCAAATCGGTAACACAAGTTCCGTTACTGATATGTAATCGATTTAGATGATTATGCAAGTAATGTTAACTCAAACCACGAAAAGGTCGTTTAATATGTGCTTCTGTTACAGATTGTCTTCGAGGCTGCAAATCAAAGCCATTCAGCTTCCGTAGGTTTAGATGACGTCAACGTAACCAGTGGTGATTGTGAGTCCATTTCAACACATGTTTTGAAGATGACAATGAAAATGACCCTGTACACTTCATACTTAATTACCCAGTGGTTCATCATATTTCAGTTATGTTATAATATATACCCAGGACCCATTCGTCACCACAGTCACGTCACTAGCAACATGATTTCATTTAAGGCCGATGTAGCACATGATACACATGAATACACATGATTACACGCAATCAACAACAACCAAAACCACAGCTTATAGTATGATGACTGTTATACATTGACTTTTGTTTCTGCTATATAAGACTAGGGCTGTAAAATACTTTTGCAACAGGACGTTCATGTTGTATTTGGGACGACACCTACAAATCACGAAAGAGCAGTTTAAATTGGACTGAAAACGAAGCTATGGCGGCGAATCGGCCCAGGGTATTTATCTTAATAGAATGATTATCTAATACCCTGGACAACCGGGGATGCGCACATTATACCATGCTGTACAGTCTGCGGATTTGCGTTTGGATCTGTTTCCGCTAATAACATAATGTTGGTTTACCATTTTTCCCGTTTCCTACGCTAATCTTCATGGCATTCAATTATTTAAAGGGTTCTGTGATTATCCATCTGATTCCTGTGTTTTATCTCAAAATAGGTAACGACAGTTACAGACATACTGCCGGGCATCAATCAACAATGGTAACAACCCTACCTTTGCCAACCAGAACATCGAGATCTTCAAAGTCAGCTGGCTACAGAACCTTTACTCCAACGAAAGATCAACCAGCCGTCACGCCATCTACTTCGGCGACATTGGCAACTACCTCAAAGAATGGCCAAGTACTTGTTACGCCATCTACTCCGGCAACTACCTCAACAAATGGTCAAACAGCTGTCTCGCAGTCCAGTTGGGTAACAACGGCAACTACCTCAACAAAGGGTCAAACAAGCGTCATGCTAACAACTTTAGCAAGGCCTTTCTCGACAAGTAGTCAAACAGAAAACAACCCATCAATGAAGAATTCTCTATCTCCATCTGTAGCTCCATCGAGTCAGTCCCTTGAAACAACTGGAACAACATCAGGAAGCGCCTACCTAGCGTCCCCCTCCACGACAGGAGGTTCAGTAACAACGGGGGGCACTGCTGCCACGTCCATCTCTAACATTCACACGACGTCTTTTCAAGATAACATTACTACTAGTTCAGATGCGACATCAACAATAATTGTACCGTCCACTATATCAAGCAACAGTAAAGGTCCTAGTGTCCAGACGTCTCCGTCAGTGACAGCCAGTACACATCTTCCCAGATCCACTACCCCATCCTCCGGGAGGCACGAGCAGTCGTCCCAAGGCGGACTATCATACGATGACAAAGTTGTGCTCATCGTTGTTGCTTGTGGTGCACTTCTAATCGCAGGTGTTGTCATCACAGTGTGGAGACTGCGTGTGAGGCGAAAGTTGAATGTTTCTGAAATCCCCAGTACTTTGGACACCAGCATTGAGCTGCAAGCAAACATATACAAACACAGTACTCATATGTAGAACCTGCCGCTTCTTCTCACCAGGCCGTTAGAACAACACCCTCGCGGCCTTATTGGCGTGATTAAAGATGTCAAGTACCGACATCGGAAAAATGACGCCCATAATAATGGACCAACAGTTTGTTTGTTGGCTTGCCAGCAATATTCTAGCTATATCACGGCTACCTGTAAAATAATCGAGTCTGTGCCAGACAAAGCAGAGGTTGATAGCATGAACAACGTCCCATGCGACAGGAGTACAATGACGGGCAAACAACCACGTCCCCGAGCCTGTCCACCATGTAGCCGCCTCCTGCGGTAGTCACAGGTTACTGGGGACAAATTCTAACTTGGAATTACCTGCTTGCTTGGGGTAGATATGTCCCGGGGAATCAGTAACCAATATGTGCGTGGTGTTCGCTGAAAACAGACACAGCTTTAACGTTACAAGTATTGTAACCTACCTTTTTTCACAGCCTCGATTCAGTTGTTTTCTTTGTTTGCTGTAATAATGTTGCAGTGTGTGATTAAATAAACCGGTGCTGCGGCTGTATTGCGTTTTGAGTACAATTTCATGATATGCATGCCTCATGGAACCACTATGATTTCATTTCTACCCTTTTTTCCTTCTCCATTTGATGATTGGGGTGTCATCACGGAAATTAATGAACGGACATAAGTAGTACCACACGTCAGGGTGTAAAGGCTCACTTCCATTACGATTAGTCGATTTATGACAACTAAAAATAGAAGGGGTAAAACACACCTACCTATAGGATACTGGACTACACCCGTCGTCATCTGTACTCTGTCCACATATGAACAATTTCTAATGAGAGGTGTTGAATTTTTATCCATCTTAAGGCTGCTCTTAAGGAGACACTTCTCCACTGCTGGTGGCGCCAATGTTGGTGCTGTGATGCCCACTGAAGACCGTCCTGGCGATGACGTGGTGGCATGGGTCCTCTGTGTGGCCTGTGACAGTGGAGGCGGCTGCTCGTCAATCGTCGACGCACGGTGTCCGCACTAATGTGTCGCTGGTGTGTCCCCATGGTCTGTCGAGCAGTTTCCGCACCAGTAACAAAGCGATCTTGAAGATGCTGTCGCACAATCTGACGATCCTGACGTCGGGTAGTGACCCATGGTCTTCCTCTACGTGGTCGGTCATCTGTCGTGTTGTGGTCTGGCACCGTTGCTGGAGCCTGTATATGGTCCTTACGTGGACTTGAAATACATTGGCTATTTGCCGGGTGGTTTGTCCAGCTTGCAATCGTCCAAGGGCTTGGTGTCGTTGATTCCTTGTCAATCTTGGCATGTGGTAGCAATTCAATAACGAATGAATGTTATCCGATCTGGGTGGATTTTTATAGGGCAAGACATGGGGGAACGCTTGTGCATTTCAATTTGCACGGAACTCGCGTGCATCTGGTTACCATGGCCGTTGCCGTGATGCGTTTGGGCGATCGGTTTTATTGTCATCTGCTTTGCTTTTTATCATCAAATTTCATTTTTCCGGACAAGATAATGTTAAATTTTAGAAACTTTGACAAAAATTACCAACATATTTAAATGAAAACTTTTCATGCAATGTTACTTGGGGTGACGTTTCTTTTGTGGTTTAGTATATATATGTTTCACATTTTAATACCATATTATACCAAAAACACTATTTTAAGGATCACTGAGTGACTGACTTCGCGCCATAAGTGTGACGTCAGTTTATTATCTCTTTATAAACGCATTAGCATGCATATCCAATCAATGCTTGTATATATTTTGCCTATTTTACTCCTCATCATTATTATATATATATCATATATAGTATGGACATTCCCTTGTCACCTGCCAGCATGGTAGGGTGGCCGGTGGTAATCAACACCTTTCTCATGTTGACGTTTCTTGTTGCAGGCAAATAAATACATTTTAACGACCCTCCGTCTTCGAATACGTGTTTAGGAAACTAGAAGCTGGACCCTGCGACATTTTCTATGTATTATTTGTTCTTATAGTCTTTATTTTAACAACAATCACAGAGACTACCTTACAGAGAATCCTGTTCGGTATTCACAACAGCAATAGAAATGTCAATGCAAAATGCAACATAAGTTGTGTTTGTATTATCAAAGAAAGCACGGAATAATAACAGGCCTCTACATCTTGATTATATTTATGCATCATTTGACACGATTGACCCGATTTTACTGTTTGGTTTGGAAATTTGAGAATTTGAAAATATACTCACACGCAAAAGAAACGCAAGTCGAGTAAGCAGTAAACATGTAAATTATTTTCAGCAGTAAAGACAAGAAATAATAATAGGGCAAGATCGACAAAAGAAGGCTGAAGACAGTTTAATGGATTAAAAGGCAGATGACATAATTGTTTTTTTCAAATGTTAAGGGCTTAAACAGTTTCGGGTCAATACCCAAAATGTTAGTCAATACCTGGTGTGACCACCATTAGCATTGATCACTGACACACATCTCCTGTACATTGAGTGGATCAGACGATTTGTGAAGGCCCTAGGTATCCTGTTGCACACATCCAGAGCAGCTGTGCGTAGTTCATCGGCAGTTGTAGGGACTGGGCGAACATTGTGCAGACGCCTTTGAACCTCATCCCACAAGTGTTCGATGGGGTTCAGATCAGGGCTGAGGGCTGGCCACGGATGTTGTGTTGTTGCAGAAAGGCCATGGTAGCTCTTGCAACATGGGGACGAGCGTTGTCCTGCTGGAAAATGTGTAGTTGATGTTGTGCAAAAAATGGAACAACGTGGGATCTGATCACTTGGTCGATATACCGCTGAGCAGTGACGCCGTGTCCCCGACCTTGACCAACATTCAGAAAGCACATGGGTCCAAGTCTCGCATTAAGTCCAATCCCTGCCCATATCATGACGCTAGGTCCACCCCATGGATCCCTTTCCACAACGTTTCTGTCAGCGAAACGATCACCTCGACGCCGCCAAATTCTGACTCTTCCGTCTGCATGGGAGACACAAAAGTGACTTTCATCAGAGAAGATGACACGCCTCCACTCACGATGACGCCAATTGTGATGACCCTGTGCCCACTGAAGTCTTGCTTGTCGATGCCGTGGTTGGAGAACAGGTCGACGTGCTGGTCGGCGACATCTGAGGTTTTAGGAACGGAGACGTCGGATCACAGTGTCCCGGCTAATGTGTCGATTATGTGTTCCTATGGTCTGTCGAGCACTTTCACTTGCAGTTAGGAACGGATGTCGCTGGTGTTGACGGGTAATCTGCCGATCTTGTCGAGGTCTGGTGACCCCAGGACGACCGCTCCGAGGAAGGTCATCTGTGGTCTGTGTAGCATTGTATCGATGCAGGAGACGGTAACTTGTGGTTATGTTAACGTTGAAAAGACGGGCAACATCTTGGACAGACTCTCCAGCTTCCAAACGTCCGATAGCCTGGTTTCTCTGAATTTGAGTTAGGCGTGGCATTGTTGACCAAGGAGTGGTAGGTCCAAGAATCGGCCACAGTTTTATACCCACTACAGTTCGTGACAGTTCGTGCATATTCGATTTCGCGAGAAATGGGTGCATGATACCCACATAGTCATTGAAATGGTGCGTTTTGGCGATTCGTTTTTTATGTTGCGTTTTTACTCGGGGCTTCCAAAATGCAACCAAAAATATTGATATCACCATCAGGCTTCACATGCTAAAACTCGTATCAATTAATGGTTCCGTGTTTGTTACCTATTTGCTTAAAACCACTTGCGTTTCTTTTGCGTGTGAGTATAAATACCTTTTTGAAAGAGTGCATTTACGACCAAGAGCCACTGTGTCATTAAAACTATAAAAGCATGTCATAATATTTTGTGATCAACTTGCAACAAATAAAAAAATCCCAAAACTATCAAACATTTTATACCAGTTTATCACTCTTAATGGACCCCATATTGTTCACAAACCCTCATGGATTTGTTTTGTGAAAAACATACTTCATGATTGTGGACTTACTGACATTTTTGATAACTCGTTTATATGTTCTTCACAATGGCTGGCTTCAGAGTTAGAAGAAATATTTAAAGATCAACATGTGTGTCTGCAAAACTGACGTTCAGCTCTAATTCGGAAAGTTCAAAGTATTTATACTACAAATAATGTAAAGAAACTTTATCGTTTGAAGAAGTATCTCTTCTCACCCAAACATGTACCGTATTCTCAGACGTGGATGTGTGTACGTTTTTGGTTTAACTAATAACCTCAACTTCCCCACTGAATATAGTGTGTGACGTGTTTCACTTCAAATGACATTGAATGACACTTGTAATTTGAAACGGGTGAATTCATCAATAATTGCTACATGAATAAATATATTAAATTAAATGAATGCTACAAAGAATCTCTTTTGTCTTTCCCCCCGTGTTGGCTATTCACTCACCGTATCCAGCTAAACAGGTGATAGGTAGTCACTGAACCATGAACTATGTGTTTTGAAACAGTGGTCATAATAGGAACAATTTAGGACACCGATGCAACACCAGATTTCAAGGCGTAGCTTACAATTCATTGCGATATGGCGTCAGAGGATCCAGATATGTACAGGGCTCGCTAGTGAATTAGACTGGTTCCAGAATCACGGATAATTAAACGGCTATCATCAGTAAGGCTGAACCCAATGTACTTCACACGAAAATATGTGTTGTGAACAAAATTGTTTTAGCGGACACCAGTTGGAAACAAATATATAAGTAGCCTCCCTTGGTATGACCTTAACTGGTTCCACTGTTGATACGCGACGCAAGCTTAGCGCGATTTAGACTACTAGTTTAGGTAAGACAGGAACCCAGTCTGGGTCTATGACCTAAGCTGGTTACCAGCTCCCTATGCGCGTTAGGACACCGATGCAACACCAGATTTCAAGGCGTAGCTTACAATTCATTGCGATATGGCGTCAGAGGATCCAGATATGTACAGGGCTCGCTAGTGAATTAGACTGGTTCCAGAATCACGGATAATTAAACGGCTATCATCAGTAAGGCTGAACCCAATGTACTTCACACGAAAATATGTGTTGTGAACAAAATTGTTTTAGCGGACACCAGTTGGAAACAAATATATAAGTAGCCTCCCTTGGTATGACCTTAACTGGTTCCACTGTTGATACGCGACGCAAGCTTAGCGCGATTTAGACTACTAGTTTAGGTAAGACAGGAACCCAGTCTGGGTCTATGACCTAAGCTGGTTACCAGCTCCCTATGCGCGTCCGCGCGTCGTCAACTTGTGATATTAGAGGCGTAAGCTGGTTACCGGCTCCCTATGCGCGTCCCGCGTCGTCAACTTGTGATATTAGAGACGTAAGCTGGTTCCCGGTTCCCTATGCGCGTCGTCAAGAACGGGATATCGCTGACATGACGCAAAGAAGGGGAAATGTCACTAATCGCAACCTGTCACTGGTTAATGTTATCAGCATGAGTGTGCACGTGTGACTGTATATGAGCAGAGGCTTCATGTTGTAAATACCGAGATTGTACGTAATTCTTTAGTTCCCAAAACGCATTCAATTTATGATCTGAATATGCATGTTACATTTCAATTATTGTTTCATAGGCATAAGGCCTACTTAAACATGTTAAAGTTAACGGATGAAAAAGTAGACACAATTTATGGATAACAACTTCTTTAATTACTGTCCTGCTTGACAGCAGTATAAGGATATATATCGAAACGTCGCCTTTACAATAATTAAGGAAGTTGTTATCCATAAATTGTGTCTACTTTACATTACCATGTCAGATATCGATGGAATAACTTTTCGTATGCTGAAAGACAGGACCATGTAACTAATAATGATAACCAAAAATCGTAGACGAGGCCTCGTTTGCGAGGTTTTATGTTATTATTATTAGTGCTGAATACTGAGGGTCTACTAAGTCACCATTGAACAACGACTGAGTAGTTGTATTCAGCTAGCAGCAGCAATAAACGTCTGATGGTGGAAGAGTGTGCTATACCACTGTACTGTATGGCTCACCATAAACCAATCAAATCATTAGGCTTGGGTATGATAATGATATACTTCAATCTCATACACCAATCTGCATGTAGCAAATAATTTCAGATATTTCAGTTTGGACACATGTCAGGATTCTAGCAGATAATGTTGTTGTGTTCTTTTTTTTCCCACCTGAGATTCATGGATAGATTCTTTAAATTACATGTTTTTTCAAGAAAACATCCTCAAGATAAAAGGGAGTACAAATGGAAGTGCAATTATTATAGAGACGTATCTCCAAACAGATGGCAACTGAAAATGTCACAATATGTTTATGCTGTAGCCTGATACACCAATGTGGGTACAGACAATTTGCTTTTTTGCAGTATTAATTTTCGATTGGCTTTTTATACACTGATATATCTGTTGCTATACCTGTCCATTAGAGTGTATCCCACAGCAGTGACACAGTGATCATGTAAGTCGTTCCATCTGTTGTTAAGCTTGTTGAAGATCCGGATAGATTAGGTCATCAGCAACTGATGCTTGCCATAAATGACTACTATGCTTGTCGTAAGAGGCGACTAATGGGATCCGTTGATAAGGCTCGCTGACTTGATTGATGCATGTCATGGTATCTCAATTGTGTAAATCGATGCTCAAATGTCAATTACTGGATTGTTTGGTCCAGACTTGATTATTTACAGGAGGCAGTCATATAGCTGGAATATTGATGAGTGCGTCATAAACAACAAACAAGCAAAAATTTAGCTTGTTGCACTGCTGTTATAAAGTTATGCTTCCAGCACATGGAACTGGTAAATGTTGTACAGTTTGTATTGACCAGTCTGATTGTAAATATGGCATTGTATTGAACTTTTAAGTTAATTCTTGCCCCTATCCAGGAAAATGGAATCAGATATAGCTTCTACTTCAAAAGTTCAGGAGTGTACTGAAAAGAAGCAGGAAAAACCGTCCCCTGAAAGAAGCTGGAGAGTTATCTCCCCCTTGAAGAGACTGCCATCCCAGCCTGGCAACATGAGGTTATTTTCACCAGTCGATAGTGACCAGGAACTCAATGACCTGGAAGTCGAAAATGCTTTTGGAGATGGTAAACATAGCAAATCGTTACCATCCTTGAATTGATGATTTTCCAAGGTCAACAATACATCATGCCTGAAGACATTTATACACAAACATAAAACTTAAGACACCTCAGTCACATGTTAGCATGGTTAGAACACATCTTTACTCATCATTTTCTGATAATTGTTTATGAGCCATACATTTGTGGTGTCACAAATTAGGGAATAAGATGAGTACCTTCAAATTTGGTAGATCTTTGCATTCTTCGGTTTGAAAGTTTCACATAGTTCACAAAGTTTGGGTGGCACACACTCGGCACACATGCCATCATTCAGGCTGAGTATGGCCAACATAAAAATCAACTGGAGTTAATTCATTATTGTCTTGAGATTCATTTGAATTTAAGACACTGCTACTAACATGAAAGGGTATGAATTAAGCATACTTTTGATTACTATCTTTGACAGAGTGTCAACTGTTTGGCTTGGGCTTTGACTCATTTAACAAAAGATCTGTGAAGATTCAGTGTAAAATGGGTCTTCAGCAACCCATGCTTGCCGTAAAAGGCCTGAATGCTTGGCATACGAGGCAATTAACGGGATCGGGTGGTCAGGCTCGCTGACTTGGTTGATGCATGTCATCGATCCCATTCGCATGGATCGATGCTCATGATGTCAATCATTGGATTGTCTGGTCCAGACTCGATTATTTACAGACCACTGTCATATAGCTGGTATTTTGCTGAGTGCGGTGTTAAACAGCAAACAAACAAACAAACAAAACATTTATCAAAAACAGTGGTCAGGCTGAAACATTAAAATCAGATCTTCAAAATGTGTGTTCTCAATACATACATCCCATCATCTCTAAATAAGTAAAATACATGTATAAAACATTGGAATCAGTTCTGTGTATAAGTGATTATACCTTTCTTCATGTTGATTGCTTTCTTTGTTGGAAGGAGTGGAACCTGACTCAAGCCAGTCACTCTTGTCGCCAACCAAAGCAAGAAGATATGAGACTCCTGGCAAACTCAACCTATCGCCTTTCAGGGTATGGTAATGAAATGATATTGTTTAAAGTTTACTTTATTACTGTTTATCTTTATACCTGGTACATGTAAATTGAGGTCAAACATCTTCAAAGTTCCAGCAAAATTCAAAAGGAAGTCATGCAGTGTTTCATTAGGCAGACATTTTAAGGTTTAATGCTGCTTTGAACAATATTTCAGATTTAATGTTTGAGGAAAACCCAAAGTGATAAACCCACAAACATGAGTATGGTGCTGAAAAAACACAGATTTTTATCAGAGTAGATCTTAGATGAGGATCAGTGAATCCTTGCCTCTCCTAGAAGGTGCAGTCGAGCTCCCCAACCACCTGGAAGTGCAGCCACTAGCTAGCCCCTTGTGCCCATATAACCACCAGGAAGGTGCAGGCAATAGCTAACCCCTTGTGCCCCCATAACCACCAGAAAGGTGTAGTCACTAGCTGGCCACTTGTGCCCCCATAACCACCAGGAAGGTGCAGTCACTAGCTGGCCACTTGTGCCTCCATAACCACCAGGAAGGTGCAGTCACTAGCTGGCCACTTGTGCCTATATAACCACCAGGAAGGTGCAGTCACTAGCTTGCCACTTGTGCCCATATAACCACCAGGAAGGTGCAGTCACTAGCTACCCTAGTCCCTTGTGACTCCATAACCACCAGGAAGGTGCAGTCACTAGCTGGCCACTCGTGCCCCCATAACCACCAGGAAGGTGCAGTCACTAGCTAGCCTAGCCCCTTGTGCCCATATAACCACCAGGAAGGTGCAGTCAATAGCTAGCCTAGCCCCTTGTGCCCATATAACCACCAGGAAGGTGCAGTCACTAACTGGCCCCTTGTGCCCATATAACAATCAGGCAGGTGCAGTCACTAGCTGGCCACTTGTGCCCCCATAACCACCAGGAAGGTGCAGTCACTAACTGGCCACTTGTGCCCATATAACCTACAGGAAGGTGCAGTCACTAGCTGGCCTAGCCCCTTGTGCCCCCATAACCACCAGGAAGGTGCAGTCACTAACTGGCCCCTTGTGCCCATATAACCACCAGGAAGGTGCAGTCACTAGCTGGCCTTGCCCCTTGTGCCCCCATAACCACCAGGAAGGTGCAGTCACTAGCTGGCCACTTGTGCCCCCCATAACCACCAGGAAGGTGCAGTCACTAGCTGGCAACTTGTGCCCCCATAACCACCAGGAAGGTGCAGTCACTAACTAGCCTAGCCCCTTGTGCCCCCATAACCACCAGGAAGGTGCAGTCACAAGCTGGCCCCTTGTGCCTCCATAACCACCAGGAAGGTGCAGTCACTAGCTGGTCCCTACTGCCCCCATAACCACCAGGAAGGTGCAGTCACTAGCTAGCCTAGCCCCTTGTGCCCCCATAACCACCAGGAAGGTGCAGTCACTAGCTGGCAACTTGTGCCCCCATTACCACCAGGAAGGTGCAGTCACAAGCTGGTCCCTTGTGCCCCCATAACCACCAGGAAGGTGCAGTCACTAGCTGGTCCCTACTGCCCCCATGACCACCAGGAAGGTGCAGTCACTAGCTGGCCTATTGTTCTTGCTGTGTTTCACATGTTCTTTGATGTCTGTTGTAGTCATCCATGTGTAAATGCCAGGGTGACTAGTGACTGATAACTGTTCCTGACAATTGCAGCCCTCAACAGTGATGACCAACCTCCATCGTGGCAATGTACAGACTATGACACCATCCATAGTAGAACGTAAGCCCAAGTGTATTAATCTAGCCCTTAGTATACCTGTGACATTATACAAACTGACCGGGATGAGTAGCTGGTGCCAAGTTACATCCCTTGGCAAGACTTGATACCTGTCATAGGATTGGTAAATTTTCTTAAATGGACAAAACACTGATAATAAACACCTCCAGGAAGTACTCAACCTGTTGATGCTGTCCAAACTGTAGCTTCTATACTCAGTCTAAGGTTGTAAAGAACTCTGTTGCCAGCCACTGAGGCTAGAAAATCATGTATTTCGATTGTCAAACAATTCATGTTGCAGACATGAGTATCCACCAGATGGCTGCCCAGGGGGAGCTGGTCATGCTGCAGCAGGAGATTCAGGAAGGTTAGTAAGGCGGACACATACACGTGACTGACCTGTATTCTAACATTATTTGGGAAAATGATGTGTCAATCCAAGGTTTCAAATCACATTAATGTCTGTTTAGGGGCCAAAGATAATGTTGATGGGAAAGACCCGATTTATGGGTGGTAATTTAAATAATGATAGCAGAAAATACAAGTTACCTAATGATGACTTGTTCTTCCCAGAATATTCAAAGTAGTAGTGAAAATATATACCAGTAGTTTGGCAGAATGCATGTTGAATGTTGAAAGGGAATTTTGGATACTGTCTTGGATATTTGATGGGTTTGTGGTAACAGTAATCATCGACACGGCGAGGTTTCACAACTAACAGGGTCCATAGTAACAAAGTTTTAATGAAAATCATCAAATGTGCATTTTGCGAATGAAAAAAAACCTCATGGACAGCAGGTAGTTGATATCTACATGAATTTGACCCTTATGGTACCCTTGACCTCTTGGGTTGCAACAAGTTCCTGTGTGAGTCACGATGTTCTTGATGCTGCAGGATCGGACATCAACAAGCTGGACGAGCAGGGACTGACAGCTCTACACTGGGCTTGTGCCAATGGTCAGATGCCCACTATGGAGTTTCTTGTACAGAGTGGAGCAGACATCAACCTGTCTGGCAACCATGGGGAGAATGCCCTCCTACTGTCCAGTTGCTATGGTTACAAGGAGATTGTGAAGTATTTACTTCAGCTTGGCATGGATGTCAACTGTACAGATGAGGTATGTCACTTGGTGGGAATCTGTGTTCTGTGTTGTGAGAGATGAAGTTAGTTCAGGATTGTACCTAGTATAAATCTTAGTGTTACCTTTAGAGTTGTTTGTTTGTTTGTTGTTTTACGTCGCACTCAGCAATATTCCAGCTATATGACGGCTTAAGAGTTGTAATATGTTCACATGAACACATAGAAAACTTCCGAATGAGTGAATGTTATAGTCTGCTTAAAAAAGTGGGTGCCCTCCCTTGCATCCCCTCTCTCATTCAGTTGCCTCCGCAGTCTAGTGGCTGGCGCGTCTGCCAGGAGAGAGGAAGGACTTGGGTTCGATCCTCGGCCGCTTCATTCCAAAAGACATTATAAGATGTAGTTGTTGTTACCCTGCCTGGCGCTTGACATTAAGGGGCTAAAACTGGGCTCTGACAGTATACACCCCACACCACACCACACACCACACCACACCACACCACACCACACCACACCACACCACACCACACACCACACAGCCTCCTTGGTATAATGGTAAGTGTCCGCCCGGAGAGCGGAAGGTCCGGGGTTCGATCCCCAGCCGCATCATACCAAAAGACGTTAAAAGATGGTACTTGTTGTTGCCCTGTCTGGGGCTAAAACAAGGATTGGTCAGCTCGGAGTCAGTATACTGTGTCTGAGTGGGGTATTCATGTTAAACTGCGGCATGGTATCTCAGTGTGCTAGCATTATAAATGGCATCAGTCCAGACTTGTACAAGCAGCCACACACACACACATACATGTGCATGCACGTCGCTATATAAGTGCAATAATCTTGGACGCGACGTTAAACCCCATTTCACCTCACTTCCACACCAACCCACACCACACACCGCACCGCACCGCACCGCACCGCACCGCACCAACCCACACCACACCACACCACACCACACCACACCACACCACACCACAGCATTCACCACACCACACCACACCACACCACACCACACCACACACCACACAGCCTCCTTGGTATAATGGTAAGTGTCCGCCCGGAGAGCGGAAGGTCCGGGGTTCGATCCCCAGCCGCATCATACCAAAAGACGTTAAAAGATGGTACTTGTTGTTGCCCTGTCTGGGGCTAAAACAAGGATTGGTCAGCTCGGAGTCAGTATACTGTGTCTGAGTGGGGTATTCATGTTAAACTGCGGCATGGTATCTCAGTGTGCTAGCATTATAAATGGCATCAGTCCAGACTTGTACAAGCAGCCACACACACACACATACATGTGCATGCACGTCGCTATATAAGTGCAATAATCTTGGACGCGACGTTAAACCCCATTTCACCTCACTTCCACACCAACCCACACACCGCACCGCACCGCACCGCACCAAACCACACCACACCATTCACCACACCATTCACCACACCACACCACACCACACCACACGATAAGTGGGGCGGTCAGGTAGCCAAGTGATTAAAGCGTTTGCTTGTTACACCAAAGAGCCGGGTTTGATTCCTGACATGGGTACAATGTGTGAAGACCTTTTCTGGTGTTCCCCACCGTGATATTGCTGGACTATTGCTATAAAGCGGCGTAAAACCCTACTCACTCATTCACTCTCGAGCAGTTCATGCATAACTAGGTGCTGTGTCTGTTAAACACCTTTAAACCTTCAATCATTTTTAGTGTTTCATTTCCATCTGATCAAAGGTACATTTCTGTCTCATAAGTTAAGGTAAAACTGTATACATGATATTGTGTTGCTCAAAAATGTTTCATGAATTGTTTTTAAATATTGTATGCTCAAACATGTTTCATAAATTGTTTTTAAATATAACTTTGCATAAAATAACTAAATTGTGAATATATTAACTTGGTCGCTATATGGCTGGAATAATGCCGATGTGACGTTAAATTTTAACTCACTAACTCACTCGTAAATTATGGCACTTACCAGGACTTTAAAGATGTCTACCTGTACAAATCGTTATACAAATTATGAATTGCCAGTTTTAGACAATGACCTCAGTTTCCCAGCTGCAGTTGAAGCCTGACTGTGTTGTAGAGTGGTAGCACAGCCCTGATGTACGCAGCCTACAACAACCATCCAACCTGCATCACTGCCCTGCTGGAGTTCGGGGCAGACATCACAGCCACCAATGAAGACATGTTGACAGCCTTCGACCTCACTATTGGACAGGATCACAAACTAGGTTTGTGCAGCTCCATTCATCTGAGCTGTCAGGTGAAGTTTTCTTCATGTCTGAGAGTTTATTCCCACTATGTGACAATAGGCAGTAACAATTGAGTCCTGTTAGTCGTTTCTTACGACAAGCATGGATTACTGTTATTAAAAGCAACATCCAACATCATTAGGATACGATGACACTCATTTAACCAAGTTATCAAACTTGACCACCCACTCCTTTTAGTCGCCTCACATGACAGGTATAGGTTGCTCGGAACCTACTCTAACCCGGAATCCACAGGGCATGGGAGTTAACTGACTATATAAGTACAGTTTACACCCTTGCTGAACTAGCCCGGAATTTCCAGGCTTGATCGTAGCGCCACCAGTGGCTTTCAGGAGTTATGTCCCTTCTATGCCCCTCCTATTGACCAGTCAGATTCCACCTATCATATTACTGCTTCAAACAATATAGCAACTAGTCAAGATGATCTGATGATATTGTAAGAAAATGGGTCTTACACGAAGTGCATGAAATTACTTGAGCACTGTGATTAAAAAAATGAAAAGATTTGGAAAATATCTGTCAACACCCAGTTAATGGTACACATACTTTGCAAATCCTGCAATCGACCAAAATCTGCACTGCAATTTACGAACCCGATGTCAATTTCATTACATGATTTTGCTTGGACTATGCATGAACTTATTAGTCCAGCCAAAATATAACTCCATAATTCCAGCTTAGTTCAACAAGGGTGGAAACTGAACTTTTATAATCAGTTAACTCCCTTGCCTCGGGAAGATGGGTAGTATTTAATGCACATCTTATGGCATTGGACTACACAACATAACTATGGAAATGATTACGAGTACAGTTCCAGAAGACATGAGTTAATTGTTTAAAATAAAAAGTCCTTTTTAAAATTTTCAGTAGTTTTTAATCAGTCTGATATCACTGATCACTTAGAGCAAGTGCAGCATAGAAATTCCAGCTCTATTGTATTTGGTAGAACTAAGAAATTGAAATCTCATTCAAGTCATGATGTTATTTAAGGTTTCACCAGTTGCATGGCTACTACTACTCCTCTCTCCCTCAGCTCAACACGCCATAGAGAAGCACATGCTCTCAATGTTCGAGGGACTGACGTGACAACAGCAGAGGTGGCCGATATGACGTCTCCAGCCATAGCATGTGACGAGTGCTTTATTTCCAGTGTCTGGCTTCATGATTCCTGGGCCTGTCCTGGACACTGGGGCTCACAGTGCTACACAAATCTCTTGGCAAAACAAAATAATTGTTCATTGATCCACCCAAACTGGTATCGTTATTCTACCATGAATAAGAGGAAGACTTGTGTATTATTGGGCCATAAAAGGAAGCTGTATGTACGAGGTCTCGTCAAAAAGTTCTAAGCCAATACCAACAATTGTGAACGTGTTTTTAACTTTATTTTTCAACATAATCTCCCTGCTTTTCAATACACTTCTTATATCCATAGTGAAGCTTTTAAATTACAGTCAGAAAAAAGTTTTCTGAAGCCCAATGAAAAACCCATTCCCTGCAGCTTTAAGTTCATCGTTGTTGTCATAGCGCTTTCCACGAAGGTGTTCTTTCAGTTTAGGAAACAGGTGGAAATCTTTTGCTGCCAGGTCTGGCGAGAATGGAGGGTGAGGCAGCTCTTCAAACCCACATTGTTGCACAGCAGCCTTTGCAAGTTGAGAGGTGTGAGAAGAGGCATTGTCATGAGGCACCGGTAATCGTCTTTTGACTTTCTAAGTAATCAACAAGGATCTCACCCTTTGCATCCCAGATTACAGTGGCCACAACATTCTTCACTGATCTTGAAGACTTGAATTTCTTTGGTGCCGTGGATTGACGTTTTGACTCATAGTGGTAGACCAACATTTCAGCACCTGTTACTAATCTCTTTTTGAATTTGACGAAATCCTCCACAACTAGCTCTAAATTTTCTCTGGCATTGTCAGCCCTTTCTTCATCCAACGAACAGTTATCTTATTCATCTGTAAATGATCATAAATAATAGTTTCAATGGATCCATGGCTTAGATCTTTGTCTTCCTCAAGTGTCAGCAATGGTAATATGTCTATCTGACAGTATAAGTTTTTCTATCTCCTTAATTGAATCTTTATTGATGAAAGTTGAGTGACGTCCAGACCTAGGGTCATCATCAAGGCTTGTTCTCCCAGCCTTAAACATAACTGCCCATTGCACTACCCTGCTCAAGTTCAAACACAGTAAAAGGAATAGCTAGGGTACTTATCCCCATACACTTTTTCTTTTCCATTTCTGTGTCCATTTGGACCCCAATCATGTTCAACTGGCTGTCACTAATATACAAACAGCCTCAACAGACCAAATACACTTGCAATGAACTACTCAAACAATGTACTACATTGACTATTTCACTTTGTTATGGCCCTTAGATGAAAGTCAGACTTTGAACTTTTTGACCAGCCCTTGTACCTGTGGAAGATTCTACCAAGCAGTCATAAGAAATGAAGGAGGAGAAATTTCAAAGGGCTACTATTTGCTGTAAACACGTTGCAAATTCAATTGTACAATGTCTCCCATTTCCTGTTGGTTGTTAACGCAGCACTCAGCAATATTCCAGCTATATGATGGCGGTTTGTAAATAATCAAGTCTGGACCAGAGAATCCAGTGATTTATATCAGGAGCAAGCATGGGTTGCTGCAGACCTCTTCTACCCAGGATCTTCATGGGTATGTTGGTTGTGTGATAACAAGTATATATAGAGCCTGTGGAGTGTGACTACAGGTTCCCTGCTGGCACTCCATGAGACAAGATGAAGTATTAGCTGAGGATGCTAATATCAACAAAACAAACCAGTTCCTGTGTCAAACATATTTACTGAATTGAAGTCATGTAAACATAAACAGTTGTTTGTGTTGTATGTTACAATGGAATGTTTCACATGTCAGAGTATGCTGCATGCAGGTGAGTTGACAACCTCCACACGGCAAATATCACTACAGGAATAAGTATGAACACTGTCCGAATTACACCCTTCCCTAACATGAAAAATGGGGTTGTCTCAATGAAATGTGACAAGACAATAGTTGGCACATGATAACTGCACTTGTCATGCTAAGAGACATATTCCAGCATCAGAGAGTTAGGATAAGAAAGCCCACAAAACACATGTTATAGATTGAAGTTAAATAACATGACGGTGGCTGGAGATGTATTGTACACAATTGCAGCAAAAACTACTTTACAATTTATTCATTTTCAAACATCACCCCTATGCATGTTTTGTATGATGGCACAGTGTCACGATGTAACCCCTTTCTGAACACCTGACATTTTTTTTAATACTTCATTCCTGGATCCCATTTCCCAAAGCTATCTTTTGGAAATGTCTACATTTGAGATTGATCTCATATAAATGTCTGCAATATCAGCAATACATCCTGGACACTTGATACATTCCTCCTGCAAGCCAAGTACTGTGTCATATGATACAAAGAAGCAGTTGAAAGGAAAGTCAAATAATTATTGCCTTGGAGCAGTTACAAACCTTCAAAAATCATATGAGTATGTCACAAGAATATATGTTTTGTCATACAATTTTAAAACAACAGCTTTATATATATGGAAATATATAGTATGCTGTTCTTAACCTTTTGCAGGAAGATTACGAGCTGTACATTACAGTGTGACACGGGCCAGTGTGTTTGGCAAAATATGTTTGCCAGATAGGGAAGTCTGTTCTTAACAGGTGGCCTTACCCACAACAGTTTTAGATATAATATCCTAAATTTTGAGTATCCTTTACTTTGAAAAACACAACATTGGTCTCACCTGAAGATCATGTTGATATATCTTCATGACCTTTCTGCTCTAAACAATACAGCTATATCATAGCAGAACCTACAAATGCCTTGTGTGTATGCATATCTCTTGCACCCATCTGGCCATGTTATTTCAAAAGATTATGTGGTTTGTACCCTAGACAAATATGCTTGGCAAATCCGAAATTAAACCACATTTTGTCCTGACCTTGGGGAAGGTATTAACTGACTGTTGCCATAATTAGCATGCTGGGCAATGAGACAAAGGGGGCTGCTTACCATACACGAGTTAATTTGTGGTCAGACATTGGAACATGTAGAGCAGGTTTTGTTCAAATGTTGATGAAACTAAATTTTTGCAATAATGGTTACAATGCAGTGGGTTTTTTTAGAAAAAAAAACCCTGTAATATACAAAAGAAAATATGAAGTGTCATGTAATTGTTATTGCTATAGGGAACTTATTAAAATGACTTATAGATTGCTCTACTTGTTCTGGGGTCTTTGGAGCGGCATGTTTAATGCAGCATATACAGTTGCATTGTGAAAGATTGTATATTCACATACCTTTGCTAACAAGTGACCAGACAGCAGGATTATACAAGTTACCTTAAGTGACCTACAAAAAAAGTATGATGTCTTTGTGGTAGATTTCAAATATATTGTTAACGTGTGCAGTCAAAATAGATGATGGTTTCTAATGAAGCCAATATATTGTATGTAACATTATATTACCATTTCACCTGTCAATTCAATGCATCAATGATTGTCAGGAAAACGAAGTGCCCCTTTTTCTTGTTTAATTATTTTTATCCCCCTGGCATATTATGCTGAGGGAATATTGTCATCATCTGGTTTGTCTGTCCGTATTATGTTTCTGGAGAACTGAAACCATGGTAGATTTTCGTTTCTGAAGTGGTGCCATTTGCTATTGTGGAGGCCAGGGGAATTTGTCATCTTCTGAGGACTCTTGTAGCTGGAACTAAGGGGCCCTTGAGGTTCAACATTACAGATATGACAAGGACCTTTTGACTACCATGCTTAAGTTCAAACACTGTAAAATACAATCTTTCTCATTCTACTGTATGGGCACTGTTTTATCTGTAACCCATGAACTAGAATGGTCGTCGTGCAGCTGTACCAGACAGAAGTCCGCATTTCACCAAAGGAAAGGGAACACACATAGCAATTTTCTTTGTAGATTCCTGGGGTATAATAAAGTTATGTGAGATGGGTGTTTTGTAGTGAGGCGAGCAGGGACCAAAATGTAACGGTCTGTTATGGCCCAACATAAACTGGTTATCTCAAAGCAGGACACATTTTCAAATGAGTTTCAACAACCTTGTCAATATATATCTTACACACAGTGCAATGTATGGCATAACCTGCAGGGTCCAGTCAATGCTTTAGAAGCTGTTGGCACAGCAACAAACCACAAGCATATATCACCATTGGCTTAAGCTGTGCACACAATCAATGTAAATGCTTAAAGTTTCAAACTGATGTAGCAACCAATGTTGTAGATTTCAAAAAGCAAACTTCCAATATTAAATTAGACAGCTTGCATTACAGTCTTAGTATATACTGATGTGTTAAAATGTCCGTATGCCTTCCATTTGTAGTACAAACATTATTTATCAAATTTGTCATGTTAGCAGGTTTTGAGATACTGTATAGCACCCTCTATAATACACCCCCTGTAAAAGCCTTCAAAGTCAATCCTAAATTGAAACTATCCTGTCTATAATGTGATCCAGACTGAAGCCAATGTGCAGAGCATGTGTGGTCCCTTCTATTGTAAACATTGCAATAAACTATGAAAACAATGTAACCTGAAACAGCTAAAAGAAACTGAGATGTACATGTTTAACATACACCCCCCTTTCATAACCCTCACTTTAGGTTCCAATAACTTGCACTGTAGATGGCGTTATAATTCAACGGTAACCCCCTCCAGAAAGCCTTGATAGTGTAGCGCTTACAGCATGTCGGTGTGGTAAAATAACGCAATATAAATGGACTATATTATTATCCTCAGCATAATCTACTTGTCAAGACTGTTATAAAAATGGTGCCATAATAAGTTTTCTTGTTTTTAGTTCCCCTCCCTTTAACCATGCTTTAGATTTAGTGCATTCTTTTAAAGTGAGTGAGTGAGTTGGGCTTTACACCGCTTTCAACAGTGTTACATTTATATCACATGGTGGTTAGGCAGTAGCAATGGTATCACTTTGTCTGAAAGCCTATGACGTTGAGTAAATGTGGTTTAAAAGCAATGTTCCACTCACTAAACCCCTTGTCTTCAGCATGAGTAAAACCATCATATTGTAAACAGAGAATAAAACAATAAAACATGTAATCATTTAGTTAATACAGAAACACTTCAGGTGTCAGCACATCACAGTTTGCACAGGGAATGTCTTGTATCTGTTGTACTACACCTGCTGTGTATTTCAGGGCTGGGCCACATAGTACACAACATGATTGTCAACAGAAGCCCCATCCAACATAAGGAAAATCTTATTTCTATAATCCAGTGCAACCACCGCCTAATTCCCTGGGGAGAGGCACACCGTGGACAAAAGGGGGCATCATCTACTCAACTGTTGTAATCAGGATAATACAACTTGCCACACATATCCCAGTATAAAGAGAAACAAGTTATGGAAAGAGTGTTTACCTTTACCAGAGACCAAAGTTTCTTTTGCAATTGTGAGTCCTTAACTCATGCAATTTCTTAGAGAATGTTTAGCAAAATAAAGAACAAAATGCCTACAAACATTAAATATAGGACAATACACATTTCTGGACAATCTGTATCCATACATGATTAACAGAAATGTGTACATGTATGACTTTATCAACCATAACAGAATCTGTAGGATATGACACATTTCCAGCAGGTATCATATTAGGACAATTTTTGTGGTATTCATTGAATAATACTCAAAATATACTGTACATATTTCAACAAACCTCACTCAGCAGTTAATATATAAAAAACTGTTCATATATACATATCACAGAAAGATTAAATTCCATGTGCAAAATCAACAATAAACCATGTTATAACTCCCTGTGGCCCCTACTTTCAGAGAACATGTATATTTCACTCCTACAAATGAGATGCTAAAGGCTTTGACTCATAACTTTCACTATCAATTTAAATGTATTTGATAAACAACTTCTTGTGATTTAGTGATTCCCACCCCCACCCCCATGCTATGTCCACACCTAGAATTACCACTGAATACAGACACTTACAGTTTCCTCCTTAGATCTACTTACACACTGTTACTAGATAGTCTCTTGATTGACTCCGACAATATTCCTTGAGGTAGATAAACATGTTCTCATTCAGGTATTGTAGCAAAGACTTCTCTTGACATTCATTCAGACATTATTTGATAATTTAAAGCCACCTCTGTTGAAACCATCTTCAAGGCGCGATTCCAATAGGAAAAGAGGTAGCCTTACATGAGCTCGTCTTTCATATTTCAATTTGAAAACATTGATTCCAAAGTGATTCAAACAAACACATGAAATATACAAACGTTCCACATGCTAAAATTTACAATTCATTAGTTCACATGGCGCCCTCAGGGACCTGTATAACATTATGCTATATATTGGAAGGTCTGCACATATTTCTTCAGGAGTAAAACAACAGTAAATTCAACACACGTTTCTTGTATAAGGACGGACATGTTCAGGACGGATTTTTTTATGTCAAGGAAGGAATTGTTCTTTTAGAAGATAAAAATTAGGAAACTGCAGTGAAACCCTTTTAATCTGGACCGTGCTAGTCTGGAAATCCTGCCCTACTCTTGGGAAGGTCAAACACATTTTAAAATTCCCAACCCCTGATTCATTCATCCGAATATTCGTTTATCTAAACAATATTGCTGGGACAGGTACCATTGACTTTAAAAGGATTTCACTAATGGTCTGTACAAACTTTGTATTCCTTGACAGACTGGAATATGATGCAACAGCCTCTTGTTCTTAGGATTCTCAATCATGCACTATTGCCACATAGTCTGTTCAGTGGAATCAGTGCGACACCAGGCAGCAGTTATCGTTAGATGTTAATATCTGACCATTGCTTTGGCACAAATGTCATTGTTCCACATCCACCTGATGGACATCACAGATGCAGCACTTCATGTATGACTAGCCATCTCGACTACACAACTCACAAATGTCCCTGTTTCAGCAAAATATGTTGTACATGTGTTTTGTCATCAATGTCATATCACAGCGGGCGAGTCCAGTGGGAGTAGTCTCAGCAAGTAGTGGGATCCACTTCATCATACAGACTCAAATTCCTTCTGCCATGACACAAACTTCCCCTTGAGATGTTTAGCTGAGGGTTTAGTGCGTTCTAGTGCAGTCAGGACATCCCTGGTCAGGATCTTGTCAATATGGACATGTAGCTCCTGGCCTGCAACAAGGTGACAAAAGTTTAGTTCCTCCTGTCCAGTAAGTAGCTAAAGTTGTTCCATCTATGTACATGTACTAAATACCCTACATCAGAATAAATTCACAATGTGGTCTTATAAGTGAGTGAGTTGGGTTTAACACTGCTATTAACAGTATTCCAGTTATATCGCAGCGTGTCAGCTTAATGTGGAAGGAAAGCCCGAAGTGATGCAGGTCTCAGACGTTTACCACTTCGGTGAAACCAACGAGCACGGGTATGGTACTGACAAACCTAGAAACATAATCAGGGCGAATCGGGATTTGAACCCACAATTATAGGTTCTGGAGTGCCCAAGGGATGGAACTCTGCACAGCGAATCGTGGCTCCTCAGATGACTGGGCCACTCATGCCCCCCTCTTTATATATATACATTAATACTCCAAGACAAAAGTAACTGTTCCTGTGCTATTTAATATATTGTGATTCTTTTAGTAGAGGTGTAACGATACGGGAGGGTCGCGATACGATACGTATCCCGATACAGGGGTTGCGATACGATACAGTGTTTACTGGTACAAGCTAAGCCAAGTTGCTGTCTTTCTGCTATCTAAAAGATGTGACAAGTACAGTTGAAGAAGATATAAGGTTTTTATTTACTGTTATAGCAAATTGTCAGCAATACAGTATGTTTTACTGAAACAACAAACTGGCTTTGAAACTGTTAAAGTATTTCATGGGGGCACACCCCTTTTTATTTCGAAAAAAATCTTTATTTCTGTATAAATTACCACAAAAGACAATAATAAATAGATCTTAATTGTGCACCCCCCCTTTTCAAAATAGCTGTATCCGCCCCTGTATTTCATCTATTTTCTTGAGTATAGTGCGCACCGATGTATAATGCGCACGCCCCTCTAGCGGGTTCAATATTTCGGAAAAAAAGAAATATGGGTTTTTCAGATTAAAAACGATGTTTTATTGGTCTGTTTTCAGTCGTACAATTGGGTATCTCATACCTCTAGTCGCTCGTTAAAAGGAAGCCAGAGGCTGGAATGTAAACAATAAACTTGTTTCCGTCCGGTTGCGCACGCACCTCCCGATGACATGCCACAAATCTCGAAGAATAAGCCATCAAGCAGGACTGGACTGGATTACTTCCCAGTGGGGATGGCTGGGTGGGAACGTACGACTGAAAACAGACCAATAAAACATCGTTTTTAATCTGAAAAACCCATGTTTTAGTCTGTTTTCAGTCGTACAATAGGGTAGAATTCGACGGAACACTGGAAGGAGGGTCTGGAAAGTAATCCGGAAGTGACCTCTTGCACGTCGAATGTACCAAGTTCCTCACCCCTGTAGTGACAATAGAACATTCGACCAGATGCACGGACGAGACAAATTGTTTATCACGAACGCACAGCATGTTTAATGCTCTTCGACACACTACTAATTATCGATGCGACAGGACAACTGCACGCGTCAGTTGAACTGCGATCGAAGCGGTCGACGTATAGTTTAGTTACAGAGCAACTCGCAGTATACAAGGTAACTAAACAGCATCTTTAATGCTCTTCGACCCACAAGTAAGTATCGATGCGACAAGGCAACTGCACACGACAGTTGAATTGCAATCGAAGTGTGGACGGCATATAATTTAGTTTCAGAACGACTCGTCGTATCCAAGGTAACTAAAACTGCATGTTTAATGCTCTTCGACCCACAAGTAAGTATCGATGCGACAGGACAACTGCACACGTCAGTTGAGGTGCGATCGAAACGTGGTCGGCTTATAATGTAGTTACAGAACGACTCGTCGTAGGCAAGGTAACTAAAACAGCATGTTTAATGCTCTTCGACACACTACTAATTATCGATGCGACAGGACAACTGCACGCGTCAGTTGAACGGCGATCGAAGTGGTCGACGTATAGTTTAGTTACAGAGCAACTCGCAGTATACAAGGTAACTAAACAGCATCTTTAATGCTCTTCGACCCACAAGTAAGTATCGATGCGACAAGGCAACTGCACACGACAGTTGAATTGCAATCGAAGTGTGGACGGTTTATAATTTAGTTTCAGAACGACTCGTCGTATCCAAGGTAACTAAAACTGCATGTTTAATGCTCTTCGACCCACAAGTAAGTATCGATGCGACAGGACAACTGCACACGTCAGTTGAGGTGCGATCGAAACGTGGTCGGCTTATAATGTAGTTACAGAACGACTCGTCGTAGGCAAGGTAACTAAAACAGCATGTTTAATGCTCTTCGACACACTACTAATTATCGATGCGACAGGACAACTGCACGCGTCAGTTGAACTGCGATCGAAGCGGTCGACGTATAGTTTAGTTACAGAGCAACTCGCAGTATACAAGGTAACTAAACAGCATCTTTAATGCTCTTCGACCCACAAGTAAGTATCGATGCGACAAGGCAACTGCACACGACAGTTGAATTGCAATCGAAGTGTGGACGGCTTATAATGTAGTTACAGAACGACTCGTCGTAGGCAAGGTAACTAAAACAGCATGTTTAATGCTCTTCGACCCACAAGTAAGTATCGATGCGACAGGACAACTGCACACGTCAGTTGAATTGCGATCGAAGTGTGGTCGGCTTATAATGTAGTTACAGAACGACTCGTCGTATCCAAGGTAACTAAAACAGCATGTTTAATGCTCTTCGACACACTACTAATTATCGATGCGACAGGACAACTGCACGCGTCAGTTGAACTGCGATCGAAGCGGTCGACGTATAGTTTAGTTACAGAGCAACTCGCAGTATACAAGGTAACTAGAACAGCATGTATAATGCTCTTCGACCCACAAGTAAGTATCGATGCGACAGGACAACTGCACACGTCAGTTGAATTGCGATCGAAGTGTGGTCGGCTTATAATGTAGTTACAGAACGACTCGTCGTATCCAAGGTAACGAAAACTAGCATGGTTAATGCTCTTCGACACACAACTAATTATCGATGCGACAAGACAACTGCACACGTCAGTTGAATTGCGATCGAAGTGTGGTCGGCGCATAATTTAGTTACAGAGCAACTCGCAGTATACAAGGTAACTAAAAAATACGAGCCGTACTTTAAAGTATGGGAAGACGATGCATACACCGAATAACCATAATAAAACAGCCGAAGTACTGCATACAACAAAAAACCAGAAGAATGCGTACATTCACCAACAGTTTTTATTGTAACCAGCGAGGAGATCTACTTGAGGCAACCAGAGTCGATCTGTCAGCAGATGAAAAACTGTCGGGTGGATCATCCACTCCGTGGGAGACGGCCTCGATGGTCTCGACAGGGCGTCGACTATCACATTCTAGGCCCCCGGGATGATACGGGCGCGTACGCCCATGTCTAAGGATCCTCACTTCTGCCCCCGCTGGCTCTGTCCCCCTTCTGATACGTGGAAAAGGAGACCTGGCGACCTTTTCTGTCCGCATCTCTCTCGTGGGACGGCTGTCCAGGCGTGTCCCTACGAAAGGCCTGTTGCACATGCTCGTTTCTATAACGGCGTCGTGGGGCGTTCGAAACCGGTGGCCGCCTGGACATGTTGTGTGAAGCCGAAATGATGATGTCACGCTCGGCTTCCTTGGAGTACTTGTCCAGAACGTCGTTGGTACGACCGTCAAACAACTGTTGCGATGACCACGGGGCCCGTAAGAGTGTCCTGGCATGACGATCAGGTAGGCCAGTGCAGGCGATGTAACCATGACGACGTGCCGTAGTAATCTGGCCCGATACATATCGAGATTGGGCGAGGACGTCCGAGATCCACCGTTGCATACAGGTGAGGATTGATGGCACCATCCTGCCGTCCTCGTCGAGGGGGTCTTTCTCCTCAAAGTACACTGAGAGGGCCTCGATCGCCGTCGACAGCATAGCAAGCGGTTGTAGCTGGTGACGAACAGCAGTGTCCATGGATTCCAAATGCCTGTCTTCTACGAGAATCTTGGAGGGCGCTGGTGTCTTGAAGAGTAGCCCCCAATCCAAGTCCCTACTCATGGGTGACGAAAACGGCATGCCATAAATCGGGTAACTCGATCGACCAGGCGGCTGGTTGAAACTCTGTCCCGGTAGAGCAGAGGCAAAGTTCTGGTCCATATCGTGAGCCATGGCTCTGAAGACATCGGGAGGTGAAAACTGAAGAGACTGTGGCGTAGCACCGACCTTAAAGCCAGGACGCGTCGGTTTGTCGACATCATTTGATAACTCAGGCAGAAAGTTAGATAGCCAAGCAAACAACTCAATGTCTGTGGGAGGCCTAGGAGGGCTGTCGTCACAATCCATCGTCGACGTCGATTGTGGAGGCGTAGATGAAGGAACTGGTGTACTGGTCGATGGTCTATGGACCTCCGACGTAGTCGAATCCTTCTTGGTCGACGCCGTCGAGGCGAGTACCGCCGCCGTGATCTGGGCTATCAAAGTCGGGTCGATAGGAAAGTGAGACGAGGGTGTCGATCGGTCATCAGCTCTACGACGCTGATCTCCAAAAAACTCCCTTCGAGAGCATCGCACGTCCCCGTGGGGGCGAGGGCTACGATCTCTAACTGTAGAAGTACTACGATCCCCATCGTAGTTATCGTCCGAAACGAACTCACGACGTCCACGAAGGCGACGAACGTCCTCGTGTCGTTTACTGTCTCTCGACGAGGCCCTCGACCTGTCGTCCCGTGAACGGGAACGACTTCTAGAGAGGGATCTGTGTTCACTGTCGACCCGCACGACGTTCCTATCGTCGTTGGTAGGACGAGAGACGGACCGACTGGGGACCGTAGTCCCCCCGTGGTCCTCGTCACCACCCGGTCCCGTCATAACAGGGGTGGCTGAGTGACGCTCTCGATCAACCGATTGACGAAGATCAGTCGTGCGGGAAGTATCATCAGCAGGCGAACGGTCACGTGTCTTGTCGAAAACATAAGTTGCCTGAGGCGGGTCTTTATCAACTGATTTCTTGGGTGTGGCCGACGCGCCACCCCCAGGGCCAGATGTAGAGGGT